CCTCACAATGGGCCTCTCATGACCTCACAATGGGCCTCTCGTGACCTCACAATTGGCCTCTCATGACCTCATAATAGGCAGCCTCACAATGGGCCTCTTGTGACCTTACAATGGGCCTCTCGTAGCCTCACAATGGGCTGCCTCACAATCGACCTCTCGTGACCTCCCAATGGGCGTCTTGTTCACTCACAATGGGGCGCCTCACAGTGAGCTGCCGCACAATGAGCCTCCCATTACCTCCCAATGGGCCTCTCTTGACCCCACAATGGGCCCCCTCACTATGGGACGGCCCACAATAGGCCTCTCTCGACCTCACAATGGGCCTCTCTTGAACTCACAATGGCACGCCTCACAATGGCCTGCCTCACAATGGGCCGCTCGTGACCTCACAATGGCCCTCCTCACAATGGCCTGCCTCACAATGGGCCGCTCGTGACCTCACAATGGCCCTCCTCACAATGGCCTGCCTCACAATGGGCCGCTCGTGACCTCACAATGGCCCTCCTCACAATGGCCTGCCTCACAATGGGCCGCTCGTGACCTCACAATGGCCCTCCTCACAATGGCCTGCCTCACAATGGGCCGCTCGTGACCTCACAATGGCCCTCCTCACAATGGCCTGCCTCACAATGGGCCGCTCGTGACCTCACAATGGCCCTCCTCACAATGGCCTGCCTCACAATGGGCCGCTCGTGACCTCACAATGGCCCTCCTCACAATGGCCTGCCTCACAATGGGCCGCTCGTGACCTCACAATGGCCCTCCTCACAATGGCCTGCCTCACAATGGGCCGCTCGTGACCTCACAATGGCCCTCCTCACAATGGCCTGCCTCACAATGGGCCGCTCGTGACCTCACAATGGCCCTCCTCACAATGGCCTGCCTCACAATGGGCCGCTCGTGACCTCACAATGGCCCTCCTCACAATGGCCTGCCTCACAATGGGCCGCTCGTGACCTCACAATGGCCCTCCTCACAATGGCCTGCCTCACAATGGGCCGCTCGTGACCTCACAATGGCCCTCCTCACAATGGCCTGCCTCACAATGGGCCTCTCGTGACCTCACAATTGGCCTGTTGTCCACTCACAATGGACACCCCACAAATGGGCTGCCGTGACCTCACAATGAGCAGCCTCACAATGGGCCTTTCATGACCTCACAATGGCCCTCTTGCACACTCACAATGGGCCGCCTCATAATGAACTGCCTCACAATGGTCCGCCTCACAATTGGCCACCTCACAATGGGCCTCTTGTGACCTCACAATGGGCCGCCTCACAATGGGCCGCCTCATAATGCGCCTCTTACGACCTCACAATGGGTCTCTTGTTACCTCACAATGCGCTGCCTCACAATGGGCCGCTCATAATGGGTCTCTTGCGACCTCACAATGGGCCTCTTGTGCACTCAGACTGGGCTGCCTCACAATAGGCTGCCTCATAATGGGCCTCTCTTGACCTCACAATGGCCCTCTCGTGACCACACAATGGCCACCCCACAAATGGCCTCTCTTGACCTCACAATGGGCCGCCTCACAATGGGCCGTCTCACAATGAGCCGCTCGTGACCTCACAATGGGCCTATCATGACCTCACAATGGGCAGCCTCACAATGGGCCTCTCATGACCTCACAATGGGCCCTTTGCGCACTCAGAATGGGTCGCCTCACAATGGGCTGCCTCACAATCAGCCTCTTGTGACCTCACAATGGCCCTCTTGCGCACTCACAATGGGCCGCCTCACAATGGACTGCCCCCCAATGGGTCGCCTCACAAACGTGCAAATGGCCCTCTTGCGCACTCACAATGGGCCGCCTCACAATGGACTGCCTCCCAATGGGCCGCCTCACAATGGGCCTCTTGTGACCTCACAATGGGCCGCCTCACAATGGGCTGCCTCATAATGGGCCTCTTGCGATCTCACAATGGATCTCTTGTTACCTCACAATGGGCCGCCTCACACTGGGCCACTTCACAATGGGCCTCTCCTGACCTCACAATGGGTCTCTTGTTACCTCACAATGGGCTGCCTCACAATTGGCCACCTCACAATGGGCCTCTCATGACCTCACAATGGGTCTCTTGTTACCTCACAATGGGCCGCCTCACAATGGGCCACCTCACAATGGGCCTCTCATTACCTCACAATGGGCCGCCTCACAATGGACCTCTCGTGACCTCACAATGAGGCTCTCGTGGCCTCACAATGGGCTGCCTCGCAATGGGCCGCTCGTGAACTCACAATGGGCCACCTCACAATGGGCCGCCTCATAACGGGCCTCTTGCGACCTCACAATGGGTCTCCTGTTACCTCACAATGCGCTGCCTCACTATGGGGCGCCTCACAATGGGCCTCTCTTGACCTTAGAATGGGCCTCTTCTGACCTCACAATAGGCCACGTCACAATCGGCATCGTCACAATGAGCCACTCATGACCTTACAATGGGCCGCCTTACAACTGGCCTCTCTTCACCTCACAACGGGCCTGTCGTGACCTCACAATGGCACGCCTCACAATGGGCCACCTCCTAATGGGCCTCTCGTGGCCTCACAATCGGGCTCTTGTGACCTCACCATGGGCCGCCTCACAATGTGCTACTTGTGACCTCATAATGGGCCTCTTGTGCACTCACAAAGGGATGCCACTCACGACCTCAGAATAGGCCACCTCACAATGGGCTGCCTCAAAATGGGCCTCTCGTGACCTCACAATGGGGCTCTTGTGCACTCACAATGGCCTGCCTCACAATGGGCCTCTCGTGACCTCACCATGAGCCGCCACACAACGGGCCACCTCACAATGGGTGTCTCTTGATCTCACAATAGGACGCCTCGCAATGGGCCATGTCAAAAAAAAACCTGTGCCACGCTCTAGATGACCTTGCACGTGCAGGGGGTTTGGACTAGACAACCTCTAGTGGTCCCTTCCTACCCTAAGCATTCTGTGATTCTGTTATTCCTCATTGTCTCTGCTTTCTACATGTATCAAGAAGTAATAGTTCAGATGGCTCACTTCTTATTATATACTTCCTAGTAACAAAATACTGATTTGTCAGACACTGTCCTAATCATTTCCACTAGCTAGTTTTGGTATCATGTTATGCATGTTTTTCATTAACAAAGAAGCTTGTAATTTTTTATCGTACTAAATAAACCCACATGGTATTTGTGATAACATACAGTTAATCAGTCTGTATTTCCCTGTATTATCCGTTTTGCTCTTTCAGCAGCAAAAGCTGGTTAGTATAGAAATAATAATCATAGCAAAGCCAGCTCAGTTGCTAGCCTCAGGAGAGGCAGAGCTTGTCTTACTCCAGCACATGGTGATGACTGGGCTGGAAACAGACTTACATGGCAATTCCGTTCAGACAAATTCTATGTATTTTGTTTTTGTTAATCTTTCATTCAACCTCACACCACTTCACTCAATCTCTTCTTTCCTGCTCTCTCGCCATCTTCTCTTCTTGTTTCTTATTTCCATTGCTCAGATTAGATATGTCCAGAGTTTGTTGCTAACAAAATCAGTTTTGCTGTGTCTAGAAGCAGGTTCAGATATTCAAGGAGAGTCTCTGAAAAGTACTGCATAACTACATTCCCACCTAACTCAAGAACTATGTGTGGATTCAAAAATCAGAATGTGCATACCAACAAATTGTCTTCTGTTCCCTCAGAAAACAAAGCTTCCGGCCCTTTGCTAATGATGATTTTTGTTCCATGCCTCTTCCCAAACTCCCCTTCCTTGTCTTACTCCAGACTTTACATTTGAGAAGCAATCGAACATCTGCACAATACCTAAGCAGGAGGCCTTGTTCCTAATGGGGATGTCTGGGTACTATGTCACTGATCATAAACACATTTACTGAGTTTCTAGTCCATGGGAAAGTAAAGGGCACGGAGCACAACCCTGCAGCAAAAGATAAGTTATGGCTACCTTTTACTGAAGCAGCACACAAAATACCACTGCAAGAAGCCGAGCCAAACTTAGTTGTTCTGCATTAACTTTCTGTTGGCATTTCACAGTGAAACTGTCTGAGGACCAGCAAAACACGTCTTTACATTTGTTTTACTTAGTAGTCCCAAATATTCATACATAAAGGAAGGAACTGCATTTATTCTGAAAAGTCAGGACTGAAGAAATCTATTCTTGTTTTAATAGATCTTGCACAATGAATTCTGTTTTCAGTTACACTTTACATTGTAGTACATTAGTAATACTAGTATACTAGTATTAGTATATTAATAATATTGTAGGGAACCCACAGTAATTTAATTTTAATTTCAAATACAATCTTAAAGTACTTAAATTGCAGCTAACCTGTACACCCAGTACATCAGGCTATGCAACCTAAGAGTCTGTGATGTGCTGGGTTGGAGTGCAGCGAGTGTGTATGAATTCACACTGTATGAGGTGCGGGGGTCACAGGAGCTGCTGGAAGTAGAAGTGAGGATGAAGCTAAAAGAGCCCGATGCAGGGATGGATTACTTTTCCTGTTGCACGTACCTGGATTAATACTCTTTTACAGAGACCAGCTTTCACCAGAGATTTTGCCACCCAGCGAGCTGCATATGCTGCAGAGCGATCAACTTTGGAAGGATCTTTTCCAGAGAAAGCGCCCCCTCCATGGGCTCCCCAGCCTCCATAGGTATCAACAATGATCTTCCTGCCAGTCAGCCCAGCATCACACTGTGGGACAAAAAGTTGGATGCAGTCATGAGACACAACAGCTTACCCAAGCCCATTCTTAGTTACTGGATGGAGCTTTGTTTGGGGTTTTCCAGATATCACTGATTGATTGTTCACAGTGCTTGCCTTCTCGTGCAACAGTTAAATGAATGTTGTCTGCTTCACTGAAATTTCTATCAGAAATGTGCCAAGCTATCACTACTGCAATAACATTTGAAAACTGACGTGAACGGGAAACACCTATAATTACTACAAAGAGTGTTTTCTCCTCAAATCCTCAATCATGAAACATGACCTGTGGATTACTGGACAATGATTTCTGCCAGTAACACCTGGTTGAGGCCAAGAGTTTATGGGAGCAAAAGCCTTGCTGAAAATTAAAACACTTCTTACCTAACAGGTTAGCAGCCTTCACTTACAAAAGAAATAGGAGAAGGGAATAGAGGACTTCATAGATCTGTGGCTCAGTGCTGTCCTGCACAAAGGAACTTAGCATCAGAGCTGAGTTCACCCAATGTTCACTTGTGCCACAAGTGCCTCTCCTTTCCTCTTCCCAGCTCTCTATGTCAGAGATGTCTATGTCATCTCTGCATCATCTCACTGTGATCATAAGCACATCTGGTAGTTTTTGTTCCTCATTGATTTCACACAGAATGAGAGGGTTTTGTATAGCCAATTTTGTTACCATTCCACAGCAATTCCCTACTTGCCTAGTGCTTGCCAGTTGCTGGCAACTGCATAGCTGAACACGTGTCAAATTCCAATGAGCAGCAAGGCTTTATATACAGACTTCACTGAAAGTTCTACAGCTTTCAGAATATATTCTTTAAATTTTCTTGATTTTTTTTTTTTAGTTTTAGTGGGAAAGGAAAGAGATGCTTCAAGTCATGCACTTTAGTATATAAATTAAGGGCCAATTTAAGGGCAAATTTTTGGTCATGTATCTTCTAGGCAAGACAAAAAATCAAGTATTTCTACAATTGGCTGCTCAAGCAGATAGAGCTTCAGTTTAGATCCCAGACGCCCAATGGGAAATCTCAAGTAGAAGTGACTGAAACATCCTTAAAAACTTGTAGGTTATCTTAATTAAAGGTGTACCAATTCATTGCACTTTTGTGCAGGAGAATATGTAGATGCACATGATAAAGCACAGTCCAAGTGTGTTCAAGCTGTCCCCTACCTAAGGTTGTACCATACCTTAGGACCACCATCTACAAACTTTTCACTTGGAAGGAGGTGGTAAATCGTGTGCTCATCAAGGTACTTTTCTGGAATTACTACTTTAACAACTTTCTCCATTAGCTCCTTCCGTATTTGCTCCAGAGGTATATCCGGAGCATGATGTACTGAAATCACAAGCGTGTGCACTCGGATGGGCTCCACTGCTCCGTTGCATTCCTTGTATTCCATTGTTACCTGGAAAAGAAAGAAGAGCAGCGACTTTCCAAGGTCAAGAACACGCTCATGGTACTCTCCTTCAGGCAGAACAGCAGTTGAAACCTGAAGAAATGAACCTCACATTTCTTTCACAGAAACTAAAAAATGGAAATAGGATGAAAGGGCTGGATTGTTGCTGATGCTTACAAGCACTACAAGAAAAATAACAGAAAGTACCGTAGAACCTCTACCAAATGGAGTTAAGGACAGTATACATATACTGCCACTGAGAAGCAAAACAACAGTAGGAAAGCTACAGAAGCCTGTCATTTTATCTGTCAGATGCTAAAACCATTCACAGTTTGCCTACATTAACATAACTTCAAGCAGGGGATCTTCAAAGTAAGACCCAAATTTGTTTTGGAAGACCTGGATAAAATGAGTAACTGCAGTGCATGGTATGCTGGGCTGTACACCAATATTCCACAGTAGCCTAAAAGCAAGTTGTTCTGTGAATGCCACAACTACCCAGCATTTTACAGATTTATGTCTTGTGACAGCTGTCTGTGGTGCCTACTCAAGCTGCAGCTGAAATTTTTCCTCTCAGGAGTGTTTCCTGCTTCTGTCCTATGCAGCATCTCATACTTTCAGACACTAAAGTCATAGGAAATTAGTATCTCTGCCACATCTGCCCCTTCTCCTAAGTTCCTCTAAAATCTCACCATGAAAACTTTGGTTACAGTTCCTCTACTCTTGATACTGATATACTCCATTGAAATTAAATGGAATGCCTGACATGATCTGAGCTGGATTCCACTCTGATTAATGGAATCCGGAGATCATTTCCTGCCCTTTGACAATAAGGCATCAGTATAATCCTGATCTGTGCATGGCAAGTCTAGAAAGAAATGGACATCTGTCTAAAGCAACATTCCTTTGCAAACGGCAGTGTAGATGCAGGCATTTACAGATACACATATTCGTTCTAGCATTTTTCTATCCTTAATACAGGTGTTCTTGTAGGTAAGGAAAACCTCTCAACTTCTCTATCTCTCAGAAAGATTTAGACAGTTACACCACACAAAAGTCAGTCTATCCACATGTTCTCTGCCCTGCTGACAAAAAGTACTACTTGGGACACACCACATGTTGCACAGCCACAGCTGCAGCAGTATAGAAGTTGATGCAGCTCACTGCCAGTAATGCAAGAGAGATTAAGAATAAAACACCTTGCTGTCCCAGAAATGCCACATGTATAGATTTCCCTCCCATTCCTACAGATTTCACAGCTCGGAAGATGGAGGATTTACAGCCTCAGGGACTGCCAAACTGCAGCACACGGATTTATCTACTCAGCTCTGCAGCTGTCAGTGGCTCTGGCCACAGATCAAATATAGCAAGTATGAGGTTTAACAAAAGAAGAGGCATGCTTTAGTTGAGAAAACATAGCACAGTCTCCATACACGCTCCTGGAAAACATATCTGGGAAAACACTAAACAAAACTTTAAAAATAGCTGGTTGACAGTAATTTATCAGTCATCCTAATCCCCAGGAGAAAAACAGAAAAAAAAAAAAGCCTTATTCTGAAGAAAACTGTTAAGACACTGATAGAACAGCTTAAGCAAACTATGCTTGTTATATACAAGTGCACTTTAATATACTCATCCCACCTTGAAATATAAAACTGTCACCACCACTTTTTGAACAATAACAAAAAAATCTGATTTAGTAGCCGACAGAGTCAATCTGTTCTGTTCTTTCTCACCCATCAACGTTATGAGCTCCTGTATATGCACCTTCCTTACGAACCTGTGTTTTCCCATCTGGTCTAACCCAGGGCCACGTTCCGCTGCGGCCCAGGGCCTTTATCCGCGCAGTCAGCCTGTGTGCCAGGAGGACTGTTAAGGGCATGCATTCCTCAGTTTCGTCACTGGCATAGCCAAACATCAAACCCTGCATTGAAACACAAAGCATGAACCAAAGCCACTCATTGCCATAGTCTGTTTCCACTTCTGTGTCTGTCTTTGTCACTTGGTCTAAAACTATCCAAGCTCGGAAAGAGACAGCGGCAACAGGGAGCCAGGATACGCTATGCTCTATAGCCACCTTAAAATATCATTTATGCATCTGCAGGCAGGGCAGTGCTCTCTAACAGGAATCTGGGGTCTGTTCCCAAGAATATCTCTGTGTTAAGACTCTATTGTAAAGACTTAAGAAACACAGAGCTCACAAAAAAAAAAAAAAAAAAAGCGCCTTTTCAGCCCTCTCCGCACTTCTGACCAAAACACACACACACACACAAAAACCCTGCAAAAACATTTGTCTCCTGAGAAGCAAAACCCAGACTCCCTAAGGATTTGAAAGCCCAGCACCGCCACCTACAGATAAAAGGTTTAAATGCAGCACTATCCAGTAGGACCACTGGAAACAGACAAAGCCAGTCTTGTAGAAACTAGTGAGGACCACAGTTTTGCACTTGTGATTAACAGACTGGGCAGTGTTTGGCCATAAATTCTTTAATTTAACATACACATTGGCCTTTCATTCTTATCCACTACAAATTCAATAGTTCATGTTTGTACTAATTTGATTATGGAAAAAAGTCCCATTACCTGATCCCCTGCTCCAATGTCATCATCACTCTTGCCGTGGGAGATAGCACGCTTGATGTCTTTACACTGTTGTTCTAAAGCTACTAAAACTGTACAAGTCTTATAGTCCAATCCTAGTGAAGAAAATATTAGAAAATTAGCTGACCACTGAAAAGTTCACAAATTGCCAGAGAAGCCTTTTAATGCTTTCATATTTCCCAAGACTTAAATTCAAGTTTCTTATGCCAGCATTATTTTCTATTGTCAGTGGAAGCAAATAACATGAGCAAATTTTTATCATAGGATATCCAGGACATGGACACGTTTGAGCTGTTAGTTGAAATCTGGCCTCTTGAACTTAGATACTCAGTATAATCCTGCAAGTTGCCACATCAAAGCTTAAAAACATGACTATGACTGTGTGCAGAACAGACCTGAGAAGGAACACATGAAGGATCTCACTCACCTTTGGAAGAGTCATCATACCCTATCCTCTTAATGGTCTCTCTGACAATTTGCTGGTAATCCACTATAGCTTGAGAAGTAATCTCTCCACAAAGCAAAATCATTCCAGTTTTTGCTACACACTCTGTGGAAGAAAGATTTAGAGTTAATCACCTTCCAAGGATGGTTCAATAAACAACTGAGTAGCCACAGGGGAACTCACAGCAACGCCCTAGTATGTATATAGCTCTCTATGCAATCCCTCTCTACCCAAAAAGAACATCAAAACTGCTGTTGTTTTGATGATAACTGAGCCCATCTAACTCAATTATTCTATCTCAACGGTGGCCAGTAACGAATGCCCCAGTGAGTCATAAGAACAGGTCATGTATATAGCACTATTTCTCCAAACGCTTTCCCAGTCTCCAGCAATTTCAGTTTGAGGATTTCTAAACATAAAGTAGAAACATTTGTTACCAGCTGGCATTAATAGTGCTTGATAGATGGCTACATTAATTTGTCCGCTTCCAGCATTCGTAGCATCCTGCAGTAAGAAGCTCCACAATTTCATTACAAATTCTGTGCAAATTATGACATACTGTTTGTTCCAAATGCCCACCCAGCCCACAAACGTCCTATCAGCTTGCTCCTTTTTACAGGTAACAATTACTCCCTAGTTACCACATCCGTAAAACATACATAACCCTATATATGTATTTCATACCTAATTCATTCCTCCTCTTCTAGACTGAAGAGGCCTATGCCATTCACTGGAAACCATTGTATGACAATAACCACATTTGTCGCTCTTCACCATACTTTTTATGATTTTAATACAGCCTTTTTTTGGAACAGGAAAAGGAGAAGAGGCTGCATACAGTATTCAACACAGAGGCAAGAATGGATTTATATAAGGCCTTAATGATGTTCTGTTTTGTTCTCCATTCCCTTCCCAGCAATACCTAACATTTTGTGTGTTTTTGACTGCTACTGGCCATTTTCACAGAAACGTAAGTTTATTATAACCCCAAACCCTCACTTGTGAGTGGCTGCAATCATCTCCAAACATTTCCCCGTATTTGTTCAGATTGCTCCCTTTGCATTAGTCTACAGTGAGTTTCATCCACCACTCTCACCACACAGTTACCATCTTGCTTATGCGATTTCATTTCAAGTTTAAGTACTACAGGAAACACCTCCCAGCTGTTCTGCCCAAGGGAAAGTTACCACACAAGATTTTTGGTTCTTAGAAAGATTTATTTCTTACAGGTTTAAATCCTCCAAAAGAACATTTTGAAAAATAGGTAAAAACTTCTGCCTTTTTTTTCATACTCCAGTAGTAGCTGGTTAGCTATATCTCTCTTCAGCGGACACACTAGGAAGCGCTTTTTATTTCCAAAGAGCATTTTGTTTTGCTTAATCACAGAAGAATTAGAATAATTATTTTGTCTTCTGCTTGTTACCACTTGTACCTACTGCTTGACACGATGTTGGCAGCGCGTTGACAGTCCAGCTCTGTCCTGCTGCAATGAAGCAGCTCAGACCAGAACCTGCAAAGCTGGTTGGTGACGAAGATCAAGCAGAAAATAAAATTCACAGAATTTTACAGATACTTGTCTCTGCCGATAGATAGAACCTCATTTCAAAACCTCTGTAAATTGCTTTTCAAAGTTTTGTAAACTACTGGCTTAGCATTTCTTTAATGCTTTTATTTTTTTAATGTTTTTGCAGATTAGAGCCTTGTGTAAGACAGCAGAAATTCTACACAAGATGCTAAGTTTCACAAAGTAAACCCTGTACTCAGTGGACTAACTACTCTCTGCTCTCCAACTCATTGCTTTTTAAGTAAAATCTGTGCCTAGGCAACTAGGAAGACTTGTGCTTTAATGGTAATTTGAGTTTTCTGACTCCAGTCAGAAGTTTTGCTGTTTTTTTCCCCAACAGGCTACAAAAATCAGGGATTTACATAAATAATCATGTCACATCATAGTATTCCATTTAGTAAGACAAACTGATCCTACTTCTCACATCTCTTAAAACATGTTTTTCCATCCTTGTCAGTTTTGTAGCTCTCCTCTGAGATGCTCTTCAGCTTTTAGCACTTTCAAAGCATCATGCAATACCCAAATACACGCTTTCCTGAGTCAAACAGAGACGTTAAGCCCTCTCTCCACTTCTCACCGCTCACAGCTATGCTTCCAAGGAACGCATGAGGTATTTTTTGACCACGTGTCATGTGATTGTATTCCCGGGATGCAGCTAGTCCTCTGATCTGTAGCTCTGTCCCGAGAGTTACAGCTTCTTCTATGAATGCAATGGCTTCGCATTCAGGTGACTTTTTAAGAACACTCTCATTTAGAAATATTCCCATTCTCAGTGTCCATGTCCCACTGGCAGCTGTGCTCTCCTTTAATCACTTGTTTTTAGCATCTGGAAGAGATGATGTTGCACAGCGACCATGTCTCTATAAAGTAAAGCCCTAAGACAAAGTCCCAAAGAAAGGGTAAATGAGTGCAATGAGAGTCACATTCAAATGAATTGTGCACTTCATCTTACTGTGAACCAACAGCTTCACCGTGCTTCTCTAAAGGCAGGATAAATACGCATTCAATACTTCGGGATTTTAAGTTTTATTAACACAGTTTGCTAACTATATCAAGAAACATGCCTTGATATATATCTTTCCTCAATTCTCTTCTTCCCTAGTTTTCTTGTATTCCTCATTATCTGTAGCCCTTTCAACCATACATTTGCTCATTTTTAACTTGTATGGAATACTCCCTGTTTCCTTTTCCTGTCCATGTTTTTGCTGCTTTCTTTCCTGCTTTTCCTTCCGATAGGATGCCAGAGTTGGCCTCTTGTCTCTGGAATTGCTGACTGCCAGCAATTGTCTTGGAACAGAGAATGTTAAATCGGCATAGATTAGTTGCTTGGATTTAGTTAATCTGTGCACTGTACTTACCACAGGCAACTTTGGCATCTGGATCAATGGCAAGATGAGCATCCAGAACAGCATCGCTTATCTGGTCACACATCTTATCTAAAGAACAAAAATAAGAAAGGCATAATATTTCTTCTTGTGAGAAGCAAAAAATAATTTTGGGATAAAATTTCCTTTCTAGTGGGCAGCAGACCTCTGCAAAAGCAACCGCCAAGACTCAATTTTAACAATCTCAGCTCTGAAATGTATGCATTATGTGTGTAATGTGTGTTTTCACTCCCTTCAAGTCAATCTGTCATCAGCAAGGCCCAGCAGCTTCCAAGGTGAGAGAAAAAAAGGGCAGTGAAAGCAATGCTGAAATATTCATTTCAATAAAAGAGAAGTCCCTTTGGTAGGGGGTTTCTCTTCTTCCCCTCTTTGCTTTAAAATTTGTAGTGCACTTTGTGTGCAACATCATATGCATTTTATAACAGCCAGAGATCAGGACTGTTGATCCCTTCACTACCTTCTGCGGGGACCTCTGATATCTCATATATCTCATATCCCATATGTTTTTCTGGATCACAAGAGACATTACCTAAAGACATATGCTTTAACACTCTTACAGCTCAGCTCATTTGAGTTTAGAGGATTTCCAGATATTCTCAGGGACAACATGGCACCGGCCATTCACAAGTTCTTACAGTAAAATTTCTGACAAGACAGAATAAAAGGGAAAAAAAGCATTTTATGGACAAAAGCATTAGAGAAAAATAGGTTTTACATATTCTTTAGCCATTAACTGCTTGTTGTCCAAACAAAAACTGAGAATACCATTATTTTCTTTTCAGAAGGGCATTTGGATTCTTTGAAGTTAATGATATATATCTTGGTACAAACTGAGGTTCTCTGTCTCATCATGATAAGTGAACCGGGTAAATGCAATCCATAGGATTTCTTCAGAAATATACCTTTGATGATTGGATCTGTAGACCCAAAATGAGAAAGAGGCATTAACCTTCACTACAAAAATAAAAAAAATCCAGAATAGGTTTAGCCACACAACTGCACAGCTGGGTACAAAACATTGTAGCTGGATAAAAACTAACTACGGTCTGAAGACTAAAGCGCAAAATACAGAAGCTGTGGTCGAAATTCAGACTTAGGAGTCATTTGTAGAGCCTGCTGTAAAATCAGCAATGCCCTGTTGTTGCCCAGCCTGTTATCTGCAAGTCTGTCGACCACCCTGCGGCAAACCAAGCTCTGCAGGTCAAGAAACAGCTTCACACGACGGGCTCTGATGCTCAAGCAGGGACAGCGTGACCTGGACGAACCCATCGGTTTTATTGCCTCCAGCTCTGCGCCCCGTTGCAACACAGAGCACAGCTGCACCAAGCAAACGAGATGGAGGCAGCTCCAGCGACCAGGCTGGGAGCTGCGCTCGCTTTGCAGGTGTTGCAGTGCTCCCCAGGGGCTGCGCAGACGCAGGGGTGAGTCATGTAGCTGGTGTCAGAACACGCCACACCTAACGACGAGCAGGTTCACTGCAAAAAACAGATACACAGCAACAAACGCAGCTGCAAATCTTCAGCGTGGGACAACACCACGACCTTCCCACCGTTGGCTTTTTGGCTTTCATTCTATTGCGGTGAAGCAATGTTGCAGACAAAAGCATTTTTTTCTCAATCTTAGCATTAAAATATATGTCGTGTAAAGGTTATAATAATGGGACCTATTACTACCTTTGTAGCAAGCTTCAGCCATAGGGTTCCTTATGGAAGTTCAAAATTCCTCCAGTCCATCAACATTGTTGAAATGTTTTTGTCAGAAAAAAAAAAATAATCTGTGTCTTTGACAACGTCTTTGCCTTAAAAATATAAACAAATAAAAGGAACCGCACATAAAGCTTCAGGCCGAGAACCAGAAAGGAGACTATTTTTCACAGGCTGGGGCATATAGACATTTGTATTAAGAACAGCAACGCGACGAAAGAAGCACATTTAATCTTGTAGCATTACCTGGAATGCAGCTGTGACTAAAATTAATGAATAATATTCCAAACATTTCAGAAGCCCCAAACTAATGATCCGCTTTTATAGACATAGCCAGAAAGTCATTCTCCTTACAGAATTGCGAAAGAAATCAACGTCCAGTATATGCTGCAACTGCAAGTCTACCTGTAAAAGACTTCCCCACGCTTCTCTCAAGCAAAAGTTTAAAATTCAAGTATAACCCCTGATTATATAGCATACCAAACAAATAAATTCTTTAAAGTGCACAAGGAAACGACTCTGATGTCTAATAAAAATAAGTGATCAATCCTTCCTTTTCTCCATTAGGGTAGAAATGACTTCACTTTCACCACACAGCGTTCCTCAGTACAAGTATTTAACAAAAGGAGAGTTTGGATCAGGGTTTTGCTTACCAGAATGACCTTCAGCAACGGATTCTGAGGTAAAAAGAAATCGTTTTTCTTTTTTTGAGGTGTGACTTGACATGTTGTAGTATCTTCAGCGAGTCTGCGAGGGAGAACAACCCAAAGCAACTGGGTTGCAGAAGAAGCACGCAGGTTAGGTGGAAAGGTTAATGTACCTATGCAGATAGCTGATGTAATGGTTCCTGAGTGTTTGTTCCTTAGAAGCCAGTAGATTAAGACTGGTATTTGTGGATTTTACAACGTACTGCCACAGAAACTCCTTTCATAAGCCCTCTGTGTTTGATTAACCTTGTTCCTGTTAAGCCCTGCACAAGTATTGCCATTAAAGCGAGTGTGAACAAGGCTAAAGCAGAGCTGCGTGCTCCTGCACGCTTCTCCAATCCTCCTTTCTTGCTCATGTAAAAGGCACTTCAAGACACTAAGAAACCTCACAGAATTCATTTGAATGCGGAAGGACTAGTGACATTTTCTCCTAGGCATAATTTCCATAAAGTGTACTTTAGTACAGCGAGTAGGAGTGAATTTTACAGAAATTTGTCCCCTTTCTACGTGAGAACAGATGTTTGCATCAGAAAATGCCTAGGTCATGCTCCCCTTCTCTAATACTGCATATGTCCCTGGCTAAGCGAAAACAGCTGTATCACAAACATCCGTACCACAAACAACAGCACTTTCTGCAGAGCAACTGATAAAAACACTGTTTCCATTATAAATTACTGGGATCCTGCGCCTGAAAACTAGGCCCTTCCACATGAGTTCTGCGGTTAGACTTTCTCTAAAGGACTCTTACAGACCCCTTTTCACCTCCTATTTGCCTTAGAGGAATAAAGACCACTAGGAAACCCGTATTCAAGCTTCCTAAATGAAGTGTGTACACATTGCCCCTTTTGCATGCCCCTTTTTGGTCTATTTCAAAACGCACTGCAACAGCACACGGGAGCACATTATTGCAGCACACTGCCACAGAGCCATTTAGGAAATAACAGCCATGTATGGCCTCAAAAAACCCTGTCTACAGAGCAGTCTCACGCTGCTGCAATATATTGTGTCAGGCTCAGCTTCTCTACATCAGCAGTAATTTGTGAGAACGTTGCTCCATAACCTAAGCACACTATGCAAGCAACAGAAGAGTACCAGGATGCAGGGGGACTGTGCTAAGTTTCACTGCTTGGCATTGCAAAGAAACCCCATCATTCTCCAGAGCACCGCAAGAATCAAAAATCACCATAAGGACGACTCCGAACATTCATTCTGCCAAGTTCTTTACCATCAAAAAGCATTTCAGGGCACTTGCAAGGTATTATATGGTAGTAACTGCAGTATTGAAGACAAGCAACTCCCTTGTTACAACAAACAAGGTAAACTCAACCCTGTAAGTGAGCACGGGATTTTTTCTCAACTATTTTGCCTCACAGTAACGTTGTTTCCCAGGTATCTCTATATTTTATATTAGGATAGATGTATATCCCAACAGCCTTAACTTTGATTTCCAGAGAAAACAGCAGTGTTTTTAACAGCGAATGCAAGATCTAAGACGTTTCTTTCATTTCAGAGTTGGTGAAACAGCTATAGGTAGTTCCTTGAGTTAACCTCACCCAGACAAAAGAAAACATACAGCAAAGTTGTATTTTAGCTGCAAAAATGGCCAGAGAAGGTACTGCCTAGTTGTGGCAATGCAGGTGTTATTTCTATTGCACCAGTCACCCAACTGAAAACCACCATGCACAGTAATTTGGTGTGGGCAAAAGGCCTCCAACCTCCTTTTTCTTCTTTTTCAACCCTAGCAGCAGAAGTTTTCAGTGTGCAACACTAAAATACCTCATTTTCCAGACAGCAAAGTTATGAAGGACAGTGATTGCTCAAGTGCAGGATGGAGCGCAATAAAAGGCTTTAAACCATGGTTAATAATTATCGGAAATGCTGCATGAGATCCATTAACTCATCTATTTCATTGTCTTGCTTTACCTTTAAAGAATTTGTGAATATACATTACAAAATTAAAGTAGTCATGCAATGATCTGCATGCTTGGAAGGATTTCACTTCCGTGCAATACTGTTTGAGCTCTAGTTAAATGTGCCACAAAACACTTCACAAAAGGCACATAGAAATGGACTTCAGTCTCCTCCCTTGTGAACTCACTTTATGCTGCACTCTAAGCTAATTGCGCTTTATCTCCTGCCTTACACACTGCCAGTTTGCATTGAACATATGCTGTTCAGCACGTTTTATAATGTAGAGTACACAAAAATAGTCCAATGCCAGCCTTGACAGTTGATAAAAAAAAACGATGTGTACAAAGACTGGTGGACCTTTGTAAGTGAAAATCATACAGCTACTAGACTGAGGGGGTGAGGGTTGCCTCTGTATTTCCTCAGCAGATCAGAGAGATCAATCTCGGCTCATTGCCATCCTGTTTGAGTGCCCCAGAAAAGTTCCCGCTCCTATACACGTTATTGAGCTGCTGCCGCCCCAGTGAAGAGATATCACTTCCCAGGCGATTTCTCTCAGGTTTTCAATTCTCTCCTGTGGTTTCCTTGCTTCCAGCACACTAAATCTGAAGAACATCCAGATTTCCAGCTCTTTTACACACTCCTCTTTCCAAGAAAACTACCAAAAATCTCTTAGGCTGATCATTTATGGAATATAGACCATCCACTTCCCTGCAAGCTCCAGATGCTTTAACAGTTAATTTCAAACACAGTCCTCTGTTGTGCAGAGCCTGGGACACAGTTCAGTGATTTGCACCAGTTCTTGCAACTTCTGACTTGACCATGATGTATTATTTCTGATTCCTATGGATCTTTATGAATTGCAGGGGGTTGGACTAGATGATCCCTGGAGATCCCATTCAGCCTTAAGGATTCTATGATTCTATGATTCCAGAGACTCCCACTGCAATTCTAGCACGTTTCTCAGACTATTCTTTCCAGAAAACAAACAAAAAAAACCCCAAAACAACAACAAACTTTTTTCGGAATTACAATTTCATTCCAGATCAGCTGCACATTTCTGGTTTGGCTTCTTCTACTTCCTCGAGTTCACAGAGGAATGCTCAAAAAAAGCTGTGGTTTACTGGAAGCAGCTCCCATACTACAGGAGTGCAAAATTTGGATTTTTTTTTTTTTTGGTTTAGACTATTTTAGAAACCTATCTCCATTCATTGAGCAGAGCTGAACACCTAATGGCACTTAAGCTCCACAGTGGCCATCAGTCACATTCTCGCCAATCCTAAAACATTCTTTTTTAACATCAGAGTGGACATACTCTGACAGCCCGCGCTGCCAACCTTTTCTCTGACGGGTGTTTTATTAAATCCATTAGACTGGACTTTCTAGAAACTGGAAAAGAAGAAAGAGAAACACTGATGAAAGATGAAAGCGTGATGATTGGGCGTCTCTCACGAATCCAGGTATCACACACACACGCACACCCCCAGAGCCCCTGCAATCCTCTGAATCACGCGCCTTCCAGAAAATGCAAATACATCTTTTTTAACGAGTTCCAACCCCCCCAGCCACGCCGCAACCCGTCACGGAACTACAACCCTACCACATCCACAGGGACAAACTTCCTTCCCGGGGCGGAGACAGGGGCGGTGCAGACCAAGGGGCGGTCGCGAAATGGCGG